GAGACGCATAATCCCCGAGCTGAGCAAGGGACCAAATACCATGTGATTCTCCCCTCCTCCCTCTCTGCACAGTCTCTTCTTCTGAGAAAATCTATTTAATGAAGTGCATCAGATAGGAGCATTGGGTAGGGAATGTGGAATCAAATTTCCAGAGTAGCTTATAGCTCTGGACATTCTGGGTCCCTAATGCTCGAATGTAAATTACAGTTCATGATGTGTAGGACCCTATTTAGAATAACCACAAACAGGGCTACCATTCCAGGCTGTTGTCTGCTACTGGCTTTACATACATTATCTCATTAACTTCTTACACATGAGAAGAGTTTCTTACCCAAGATCACTCAAGTAGTAGAATCCAGCTTCAGACCCTGATCAGACTAACTCCAGAGCCTTGTTCCTCCTTTACCACCTCCTCCATTAAGTCCATCTTGGAAACCACAATAATGGTGTCAGTATTCCTAGGGCATTTAATTGGTCGGAATCTTTTTGGGCACTCCCACATGCACATGCATGTGTGTATGTGTGTGTGTATATATACTTTAGAATATAAAAATATTATAGAAGACTCACGAAAAAATTTTCCTTTGCGCCTGAGACTCCCTAGCCCTAACCCCTGCATGCACTCACACCCTCCCTGTAATGGTTGCAAGTTGTGTTTTCTTTAGCAAGTTAGGTCAAGAGGTCTGTGTGCCGAGGAAGGGAGAATGCCATTTCTGCAATGAGAAAGGAGAACATGCATCATTTTAACCTGTTATGAATCTTCTTTTTGTTTAGAAATTATGCTTGCATATTATTGTAAATGATCCATCAACTGATGGATGATGAAAGAATATTCTGACTGGGTGTCCAGGGACTCTGAATTTTTTCCCAAAGTGAAGCAGTAAGAGAGTGAGCAGCCCCTGGAGCTCACTGGGACTCATTACCCCAATCCTCAAGTCTGCCACCTGACCACATCAGGAAGAGGCTGAGGCAACGCCCATCCAAGGGACCTGGAGACCGCTCAACTAGTCTGCGCCCCTACTCGGCTTGTCTGGGTATTATTTTCTTTCTTTATTTTTGGTTTGTGCCAGGTCTTTTGTTGCTGTATGTGGGCTTTCTCTAGTTGCTGCAAGCTGGGGCTGCTCTTTATTGCTGTGCACAGGCTTCTCCTTGTGATGACTTCTCTTGTTGCAGAGCACGGGCTCTAAGCACATGGGCTTCAGTAGTTGTGGCTCGTGGGCTCTAGGGCGGTGGCTCAGTAGCTGTGGCACACAGGCTTTGCTCCGGCATATGGAATCTTCCCTGACCAGGGATTGAACCCATGTCCTCTGCATTGGCAGGTGGTTTCTTATCCACTGGACCTCCAGGGAAGCCTCCAGATGCCAATTTCACTATGATGAGAAGAATGCATAATTTCACCCAGGGAGAAGAGGTAGTGCCCATTTAACAGACCCTAAGACAAAAAGTAATACAATTACAGTCAATGAAATATGGAAAAGTAGGCAAAGGATTTTTGTACCTTTTCTCCATTTAACACTCAGAGACATCAAGTGAATATACTATATTTGACCACTCCTATTGCTGGACCATGTACTGTTTTACTGTATTTTTAAAAGCTGTGATGAACTTTTTTCCACCATATTTTGGATTATTAGCTTAAAAAAGTTTCTAAGAAACAAAAGTACAGGGTGAAAGGGAATGAATTTTAAAAACTAAAAATATAATGCTAAATGACAGTAAAGAAGTAATAAAAGTGGGAGGGGGGATCGGGGTGGGGAATACATGTAAATCCATGGCTGATTCATGTCAGTGTATAACAAAAACCACTACAATATTGTAAAGTAATTATCCTCCTACTAATAAAGATAAATGGAAAAAAAAAGAAGTAATAAAAACGATGCTCTTGGAAACACTCCTGGGAACATTGTGAATTGTTATTTGGAAGGCAGCTTTAGTATAGAAATTGTGACCCGTAATAATAAATGGGCAGAAAGCAGAACCTTGTTACTTTAACTTGAATTAACAGTGATATTGAACATTATTATATACGTTGGTCACCAGTTGTACTATATTTTTTCATGCCTTTTGCACTTTAACTCATTGGTTGTTTTTCAATTCTTTTGTAAGAATTCTTTATGTAAAATACACACCAATCCTTGTATCTGCAGTAAATAAGTCTGATTTTTAAGGTATGAAAGTAAGTGCTGTTCATCTATATCTTATGATATTGAATCCTTTTCTAAGCTCTGGAAGTTATTCCATCTTCAGAGATTAAATAAATATTCTAATATGTTTTCTTCTACTATTGGTGTATGTGTTTATATTTAATTCTCTAAGCTGCCTAGAATTCATTTTTGGATATGTTATGAGCTGTTGTTTCAAATTCTTCAAAACTCATAGTAGTAAATATTATGAGTTTTTTAAAAAATATTTTAAGTTTTATATATTTCATTTTATTCTCAGTGCATTTATTGAAAGTTTTCATAAATTCATTGGTAAAGGAGAAGTTCAAGAACAGGGAAAGAATGAGATATATTTTATATATGTATGCCTCAGTCTCATTGTGGGTGATTTTTTGTTTTATCTTTTTGGTTTGTTTTGCTTTTACAAATGAAAGTCTGAGTAGAGGTTTATCTACAAAGCCTGAGGGCTCTTAACTATGAATGGTTCTGGAATAATTCTTAGAAGGGCAACATCTGAATTAAATGGACCTTTCAAAATTGAGATTAAAAAAAAAATTGAGATTCTAACCAAGAGTCAGGGATTTCCCTCTGTGGTTCAGTGGCTAAAAATCTGCCTGCCAATGCAGGGGACACAGGTTCAATCCCTGGTGTGGGAAGATTCTGGAGCAAAGTGCTGGAGCAAAGCCTGTGTGCCACAACTACTGAGCCTGTGCTCTAGAGCCCATGGTCTGCAACAAGATAAGCCACCAGAACAAAGAGAGAAGAGTTTGCAACTGCAAACTCTCTGCAACTAGAGAAAGCCTGAGTACAGCAATGAAGACCCAGCACAGCCAAATAAATAAATAAATTTTAAAAAGAAACTAAGATGAAAAGGCTACATACCATGTGATTCCAGCTATATATTCTGAAAAAGGCAAAACTCTGGAGATAGTAAAAAGATTACTAGTTGGACTCCAAAAACCCTGGGGTTTAGAGGCAATTCAGGACAAAGAGGGAAACTTCAAAGAAGGAGCTAATTTTAATAAAAACTAGTAAAAAAAAAAAATGTTTAAAGAGCCGGGAGGTAATTATACCTGCTTTCTCAAAATCTCAGAGACTAGAGATGGCATGCTGGGATCTGGGAGGGTGTGTTGGGTGTCCTAAATTAAAAACAGTTAGGTGTTAGTGAAGCATAAATTGAGAGAAAATGCTGAAATAGTTGAGTAGGAGGGGACTGAATTTGAGTGGTGCTTGTAGACCATATCCAGAAGCCGGGCCTTTCTCTTAAGGGTACATGGGAGCCACAGTAGATTCTATGCAAGGGAGTGACTCCAGTCTCTGGATGTGATTTGCGTTTGGAAAGATCTCCTGTATTCCTGTGTATTAGCAGGAATAACACGGTAACTAAGGCTAGTTAGAAACCTTTAATAGTCTACTGAAACAAGATGTTGAAAGTCTGAATAATAACAATCATTTAAATGATAGCAGACATGAATTAAACCAATAGGCTCGTTACATATTTAATCTTGTTTACCCCACAGCCACCAAGTGTTGGGCTGGTGTCAGCTTCTCCATTTTACAAGTAAGGTAAAGAAGGTTGAGAGGATAAGTACAAATAACTGGATCAAGATCACGCAGCACCCAGATCTGTTTGACTGCAGTATTCCCTTGGATGCTGATGCTGATGATCACGGTGATGACGGGGAATGTAAAGGCGTTTTCATTCATTCCTCATACATTCGAGACCTGAAAGCCCGCTCCAGCATTCGGGAAGCGGAAAAGACAAAACTGATGAAGGTTTCAGTGAGCAGCTAACAGGATATAAAACTTCCCTAACTGCAGAGTGACGACACCATTACCGCCCGCTGAGCCCCACTCAACCAGACACACGCCCTGCCGGGACTGTCCCGGCAGCGCCTCCAGGGATCGCAGGCCCCGCCCCTCCCCTCCCCGCCACGCCCGCCACGCCCCCTGGCACCTCCTTGTACCACGTGGTCCGGCGTGCGCGCAGCAGGATCCCGCGCCGGAGCTTCCGGGTTGGCTGCGACTACGGCGGCGGCGTAGGGACGCCAGCTGCTGGCCGGGCGGAGCTGGGAGCCTGGGCGGGCCCGGCGCTAGTGCGCCCGCCAGGCAGCCAGGGAGGCCGGCGGCGATCCGGACCCTGACGGGCTCCCAGAGAGGTAGGTCCGCCACCAACCCTCTGTCGGTGGGCGCTGCACCCGTGCGCGCATCGACTTCTCTCCAGCCGGCGGCTCCCCGGTCGGTCCCCAGGGGTCCAGGCTTGGAGGTGGGGGGCCTCTCTCGCGGCCCGCTCCCCGCTGGGTGGGCTCCGGGGAATCGCCAGCCCGGCGCCTCGCGCCGCGCGCGGTCGGTAGGTCTGTGCCGCCTTTCCAAAGCGAGGGCCAATGCGCCTTACGTTATTGTCCATTGCAGCCACCTCCAGATTTATATCGTACCCGTACGTTTTCTTCTTTTCCATTTTTGCTTCACAGACAAAATGGCTCCTAATATGTGAAATCGAGACTCCGTAGTTTTCATTCTCGTGTTTGTGCAACTGTGGAAAGTTAGCGCAGTGAAGGACTTTAGAGATAGTTGATCCCAATTCCTTCATTTTACAGAGCAGAAAACAGACCCCGAGCGGTCACGTGGACGTCGGAAGTTCACCCAGCTGGATAATGGTACAATAGGAATAAGAACCCCAAACTATAAGTTTTTACATAATCTTTTAAAAGTGGTAAAAGATTAGCTAACAAAAGTGAATAGTCCCCTTGGGCTGGGATTAATCTTGCTAGAGAATGTCTTCCTTTTAAACATTACTTTCTTATTTCAGGCTTAATCCTTCCTGAGCTTCTAAAGAAAATGGCAGAAACATCATCAGAGCCTCCTGGGCAGCTGGTTGTACACTCAGACACACACAGTGACACTGTCCTGGCCAGTTTTGAGGATCAGAGGAAGAAAGGCTTTCTCTGTGACATTACTTTAATCGTGGAGAATGTGCATTTCCGGGCCCACAAAGCCTTGCTTGCTGCCAGTAGTGAATACTTCTCAATGATGTTTGCTGAAGAAGGGGAGATCGGCCAGTCCATTTATATGCTAGAAGGCATGGTTGCGGACACATTTGGTATCCTGCTAGAATTTATCTACACTGGTTGTCTCCAGGCTAGTGAGAAAAGTACAGAACAGATCCTGGCTACTGCCCAGTTCTTAAAAGTCTATGACCTGGTAAAGGCTTACACGGACTTTCAAAACAATCATAGCTCCCCAAAGCCACCGACTTTGAACACAGCTGGTGCTCCGGTGGTTGTTATTTCTAATAAGAAAAGTGAGCACCCAAAGCGAAAACGGGGAAGACCAAGGAAAGTCAGCAGTTTGCAGGAAGGGAAGTCAGAACTGGCTGCAGAGGAAGAAATACAGCTGAGAGTGAACAATTCTGTTCAGAACAGACAAAACTTTGTGGTTAAAGAGGGAGACAGTGGTGTACTGAATGAACAGATCCCAGCAAAAGAACTGGAAGAATCTGAGCCAACTTGTGAGCCAGCTAGAGGGGAGGAGATGCCAGCTGAGAAAGATGAGAACTGTGATCCCAAGACCCAGGACTCTGGGCAGGACAGCCAGAGTCGGTGCAGCAAGCGAAGGATTCGGAGGTCTGTCAAACTGAAAGATTACAAACTTGTGGGGGATGAAGATGACCAGGGTTCAGCCAAGAGGGTCTGTGGACGGAGAAAGCGCCCTGGTGGGCCTGAGGCCCGTTGTAAAGACTGCGGCAAAGTATTTAAGTACAATCACTTTTTAGCAATCCACCAGAGAAGCCACACAGGTAATTATGCTTTTGCAGCTTATTGGAGAAGTAACAATAATAACAGCGTACATTTATTGTGCAACATCTATATGATGGGCATTGTAACAAAGTATATGATACTGCATTGAATTCTTCAAACTGTCTGGTGAGATATCCCATGTTATCCCAATTGTACAGTTGAAGAGACTAGGTTGTAGAAAGCTAAAAGTACTTGCCAGGACATCCATATAGTGACAGAGGTGGGATGTGAACACAAGGAACCTGATTCCAGAACCTCTCTTCTTCTTTTTTTTTTTTTTTTTCAAAATGAACCTCTCTTCTTACTTGAAGTTGTTGCTTCAAGGCTTGAATGTTCAGGAATCGAGCTCTAGCCAAAATTAATCTGCTTTATGATTCTTGAAGCTTCTTCATCTTGACCATAGTTGTGTTTTTGCTCGGATATATCTGGACAGTTCTCTTACTCAGCCATCTGTAAGTGTTGTTTGCTTTTTGATCCCTCTAGCCCAAGGCTGGCCAATAGACCCTTTTGTGAGGATGGAAATGTTCTGTATCTGTGCTGTTCTTTTTGGTGGCCTCTAGCCGCAGTGTATTTTGAGGGCTTGACATGTGGGGAGTGTGACTAAGGATCTGAATATTTTAATTAAATAGCCACCATGTTGGACAGTGCAGCCCTAGCCAGAAATCCCTTCCTCCTTTGAGCTGTCTCTTATGTACCTACCTCATTCTGCTTTGGATCAGGCAGTATTTATATACCCTTCAGCCTAGTTGTAAGCATTAAGTATAGAGTCTGGTACTTAAGACTTCTTGTCATCAAGCAACCTGTTGCCTTAAGAGCCAGCAGCATCCAGCACTGTGGTTCTCAACCTGGCTGCATGTTACAGTCTCCCAGGGAGCTTGGCCCAGCCCCAGAGCTCCTGGTGTTATTGAGGGTGGTGTTTTTAAAAGCTCCCTGGAGCTTTTAAAGCACAGAGAGCCTGAGAACCCTGAAGTTGGTTCTCTGAACAAAATAGACACTTAAGAAATATTTGCTTGTCTGTGACAGAAGCTAAAGAGTTAAATAGTTTTATCAATTTTAAGGAAAACAAAGTGTAGGCTCTTCCCTTTCCCTCAAGGGGTCTTGCAGTTATACATTGAATCACTTTAGTGTGGGTCTCTTCTTCCACTTGAGTGGATACCAGTAGATCCATACAGTATGGAAACTCATCTTTTAGTTCCAGAAAAATTTCCGGAATGATTTCATAGTAATCCCTGCTCTCTCTTTCTGGAACTCCTCCTGTTTGGATGCTGAAACTCCTGGACTCATTCTCCAGCTTTATCTTTTCTCTATTTTCCATCACTTTTTGCTCTACTTTCTGGGGGATTTCTACTTTATCTTTCAACTTTTATTTTTCTCTTTCTACTCCTTTTTTTTTTTTTTTTAACTTCTGGGAGCTCTTTTCAAAATTCTCTTGTTTGTTTTTAAGTAGAATCCTCTTTTTGTTTCACAGTACAACGTCTTGCCTCTATGAGCCTCTTAATAACTTTTACTTATTTGTTATTTTTTAATGTTTTCTTCACTCTGGAAAGTCTCTGTTTTCTTCAGGTTGCTTTTTCTCTTCTCTGTTTTGTTATCTGTTTCTACTGTGTCTGGTGATTTTTTTTGTTTTTTTTTTAACTCCTATTTAATTATATGCAAGAATGGTTTGCTCATAGCTCCTTGCAGCTCTGCAGGTGTGGAGAGGGCCTGTAGACATCCTGGCTGATACCTGGCATCATGTCCTCAGTTCTTTTACTGCGGGCCCTTTGTATTCAGGAAATGATGCTCCAGCTCCCACCTGGAGCCGTAGACCTGGCTGCCAGTGTCCAGTGCAGGAGGAGGCAGAAGTTTTGGGGGTGGTCTCATCATCCCAGATGTAAACTTTGACTTGCTGTCCCCATGGTGGCCTTGTTCCAGTGCGCTGGGTGACCTCTAACCCAGAGACCCCTAGTCTGGAGATCCTTTGTCTGATTTACCCTCTTCAAGAACAGTCTCCATCTTCCATTGGGGAGAAGGCCAGTCTCCTGGTTGCATGGAGACTGGATCTTTGGGTGGCGGTGGGAGTGGGGGTTGGGGGGACTAACTCCCTTCGAAACAGACTGTCATTTATTTCTTCCTCACCCCCATTTTCAGAGATAACAGATGCTCCCAGTTCCTGACCTCGTGCAGGCTCTGTCTTCAGTTAGGCTGTGTATCAGTGCTCCTCACTGCTGGCGTCACACTTGTCAGCTCCCACTTGCAAAATGTTATTGCTGATGTTGTCGCTCCTGCTCGTTGTGATTTTCATTTGGGAGGGAACAAAAAGATGTGCAGACTCTTGCCCACACCATGTTTCTGGGGCTCTTCTTCCAGGGGAGCGACCTTTCAAATGTAATGAGTGCGGAAAAGGCTTCGCCCAGAAGCACTCCCTGCAGGTCCACACCCGGATGCACACGGGCGAGCGGCCATACACCTGCACGGTGTGCAGCAAGGCTCTCACCACCAAGCACTCGCTGCTGGAGCACATGAGCCTGCACTCAGGTACGGGCCCGCGCTCGGGAGCCTGGTGCCGCCAGGGGCGCCTTCCCGGGCTGGGCATTACCTTGCTCTCCATGGTCTTTTCTCAGTCTCAGATCATTCCCCACGTGGTTTCATTTAAAGGCAGACTTGTGTATCTCTCAGAGAGTAGTTTAGAGTTCTGCCCAGCCTTGAGCCTTAAACTAGCATTTACAAACTGGCCGTTGAAAGTTCAGTGTATAATCAGGATGTGTTTAAGCACCAGTCTTCAGAATTATTTTACTTTGGACGATGTTGGGGGGAACTTGAATTCTCTAGCTCTGCCCCAGTCTCCACCACTCCCTATTGCCTTATGTGCCTTTGCACATTGGTGACTCTGAAGACATTTGGGTTTGTAGACAAGTCACTTGTGTTATTTGTAGAAAATGGGGACCTGGGCCCACTGTGATACTTAATTACTTTATTAGTGAGCATTCTAGTTCTTTATAGTTTGTTGCGTGTTTTGTTTTTTATTTGGCAGGACATAAGTCTTTTACCTGTGATCAGTGTGGAAAATACTTCAGCCAGAAAAGACAACTAAAGAGCCATTATCGAGTTCATACAGGTACAATAAAGTGAGATAAAATTTGGATTGGTGGGGGAGAAATGCAAATACAAATTGTTTCTGAAACAGTAGGTTCATGTTGTAAAAGATAAGTGAGTTTTTAGGGAAGCAGTCTAAATTAGGTGTCCTTGGGTTACTCTTACCACCTTGCAATTTATATTGAATTTTTATATTACAGTTTCTGTGCCACACACAGAAACCCTACAGAATTGGTACCATTCAGGGCGCTACTTGGCTAAGAGGGCGCCAGTTGATTGGTTGTTAGTTGTGTCTGGACAGAGGTGTCACCACCCCGTAGCTGTCAGTCCAGGCTTTCTCCAGCCTGGCCCCACCCATTGTCCTTTTTTTTCTTTCCTGCAAACTGCTGAAAGATGAAGAGGGGATTGGGAGCATCATTTGAGATTAGTTGGGCACAGTCGCACCAGTACTTTGAGGGAAAAAGGAGATTTACACTTAGGGAGATGGGAAGGGTCCCACCTTTGTTTGGGAAGCAGTGAGTTGAGATGCGTAGGAAAATATTAACTGTTACCAAAATTAATTTAACAATTGTTGTTGTATTAAAGTACCATATTTAAAGTGATTATTTTTCAGGGAAGTGCTTTAACACAAATCACTGAAGAAATGCAGGGACAGCATATATGCACTGACACTTTTTTTATTGTTGCGACAAGGCCACTCATTACCGGAATGCAACGACTGCCACCGCAAATTCATGGATGTGTCTCAGCTAAAGAAACATCTGCGAACACACACGGGTAAAAGTCCATCTCACCCTTTCTTTCTAGTCTATTTCGTGTTTTCAGGAGACCAAGAAATGAAATACTCAGAATCCCTTCCTCAGGCTGTGCTTATTGTGAATTGTGTGGGCCCTTCCTCAGGCTGTGCTTATTGTGAATTGTGTGGGAATTTTATATGTAGACTACTTTAAAAGCCCAGGCAGAATGCTGTAGCACTGTCCTGTGGGGAAATCACATCTGTGTAGGTTAGCAAGATGAAATATACTTACTGAGCACTATTCATAATGAAACCTCACTTCATATCACAGAAAATTGGGTTGGCCAAAAAAGTTCATTTGGGTTTTTCCCTGAGTTATCCAGGGATGGACTATACAGGAGCAAATGTTTCCTCCACAGAATTGCTTACGTCCTTGCTTCGGTGTTTGCATTGGGGAAAGAACCACACCTTACTTTCTCTGTATCCTCCTGGCACTTAGGACACAGTGCTTAGGTACACAGTAAGTGCTTGCTAAGTGCTGCCATTTAAGTCACTCACACTTATTGAGGGTTCAAGTGGTATTGCCTTTGTTCTTTTTTATATTGTGAAACTGGAGGGGGTTGGTTTTCACCGTTTGTTTTATCTTGGTTTTCCCGTTTTTTTAAGGTGAGAAGCCATTTACGTGTGAAATCTGTGGCAAATCTTTCACAGCAAAGAGTTCTCTTCAGACCCACATCAGGATCCATCGGTAAAGTTTCCTTCATACTTTTCTCCCATGGAGTTCTCATCCAGCCCTGGCATTCAGCAGGGTGACATCCGTTACCTATATAGTATGTATGTTAATCACTCAGTCATGTCTGACTCTCTGTGACCCCCCATGGACTATAGCCCACCAGGCTCCTCTGTCCATGGGATTCTCCAGGCAAGGATACTGGAGTGGCTTGCCATTTCCTTCTCCAGGGAATCTTCCTGACCCAAGGATCAAACCTGGGTCTCCTGCATTGCAGGCCGGTTCTTTACCATCTGAGCTATAGGGAAGTCCCAACCTGTATAGTGCTTTCCCCCAAATTATTACTCTATGAGAAATTCTTGGGCAGCTTATTATTTTGCTTTAAGAAATTCCTCATGCAGGCAAACTTAGAAAAACTGATTCTGACCAGTGAAAGTTTGAGTTATTGATATCATTTGTTGAGAATTTTGATTTTGGCCTTGGGGGATGATCCAAAACTTAAATCTTCTATCAAAACTAAACTAAATTAAAATATATTTATTTATTTTTGGCTGTGTTGGATCTTTGTTGCTGTGTGAGGGCTTTTCTCTAGTTTTGGCGAGCAGGAGTTACTCTCTAGCAGCAGAGGTTTGGTTGCTCTGAGGCTTGCAGGATCTTCATGGACCAGGGATCAAACCCATGTCCCCTGCATTGCAAGGCAGATTGATAACCACTGGACCGCCAAGGAAGCCCCTAAAACTAAATTAAACTTAATATTTTCTGAATAAATTTTTTGTTCATGTAACTTGTTTCCAGAATTGATTTAGTAGTTCCTCTAACACAAATATATAGGGGCTACTCATATTTTTAATATTGAAATCAATCATATATATACTTGTTTGGCATCTAGAATCTAAAAATTGGCTGTGAAAACTAAAAACAAAAAAAGAACTTTTGTGACATATATTAATATATACCTTCTTATCTGAAGTACACACTGTGACCATAAAATTTTATCACTTCTAACTCAGCCCCACAGCCCCATCCTTAGACATCCTTCCCCTCCCCCCCCCCCCTTTTTTTTAAGATTAGAAACTGAAGCCCTTGGCAGATGTGATACTTGCTCCAAGTACTTAAGTTAGTAAGAGAACCCATGACTTAAGCCTCCAAGTCAGGTTAATTTTCCTCTCCTCTGGACTGCTTCTCCCTAAATAGTCAGGAAGTAGTGAAATCTTTCTGTTTTAAAATTAAAATGTATATTTTCTCGTAGAGGAGAAAAGCCATATTCCTGTGCTGTGTGTGGCAAATCCTTCTCTGACTCGAGTGCCAAAAGGAGACACTGCATTCTACACACAGGCAAAAAGCCTTTCACCTGCCCTGAGTGTAACTTACAGTTTGCTCGCTTAGACAACTTGAAGGCTCACTTGAAAATCCATAGCAAAGAGAAACACGCGTCCGATGCCAGCAGTATTTCTGGCAATAATAATGCCGAAGAGGTCAGGAATATTCTTCAGCTACAGCCCTATCAACTCTCTACCTCCGGAGAGCAGGAAATTCAGCTTCTCGTAACGGATTCCGTACATAACATCAATTTCATGCCAGGTCCTAGCCAAGGAATCAGCATCGTTACTGCAGAGAGTCCCCAGAACATGACTGCAGACCAAACTGCGAACCTCACCTTGCTCACGCAGCCGCCAGAGCAACTGCAGAACTTAATTCTTTCGGCTCAACAGGAGCAGACAGAACACATCCAGAGCCTCAATATGATTGAAAGCCAGATGGCGCCCTCACAGACCGAGCCAGTGCACGTCATCACACTCTCCAAGGAGACTTTGGAACATCTGCACGCCCATCAGGAGCAGACAGGGGAGCTCCATTTAGCGAGCGCTTCAGATCCGGCTCCGCACCTGCAGCTGACGCAGGAGGCGGCTCCGCCGCCAGCCACCCACCACGTGCCCCAGCCCACATCGCTGAGCCAGGAGCAGAGCTGACCTGTTCGCAGGCTTGGCTGCTCTGTCTCTTCTCCGTCAGCCCGCTGTGACCGGACTGTGTGCTTGAAGTTAAGCTTTCTGCAACGCTCACTTACGGATTCTTACAGAGAAGCAGTAGCTCGCTAAGCTAGCCGGTAGCTTGCTGCTTTCCATCCGAGGAGCAGGATATGTGTATCATGTCTTATATCTGATGTTGATTTGGACTTAGCATTTCGATATTGATGAGTAGTTTTCATTTACTACTTTTCTTAAAGACTTTGGGTAACTTTTCTTTGAGGGCATCGCGTTAGACTTTTTCTGAGTATTAAATACTCACAGCCATAGATACAGTCTTGCTGATCTTTCTAGTTATATTTTTTATTTTTTAGAACAAATGAAGTCATATGTTGAATTGGGTAAAATGGTTGGTTCCCCTTCCTTATTTCTCTTAGGCAACACAATTGCTACTACAAGTTGGGGCTGAATGTAACAGATTATGACTTCCGGGGACCCTGTCCTTTTAATAACTTTCAATCCCCTAAGACAAAGTAACTCTAAAATTTAATCTTTACGTGTACAGTGGGCTCATCATATCATGTTTAAGATAGATTCAAAGACATAGAAACTAAATGTCTATTTTAACTTGAAATTTACAAAAGAGGAAAGCCAAAAGGATAGGATCATTTTTTAAATTCTAAATTCAACTTTTCTGAAAAACATAGATTGACGTGGTTTTTAAAAGCAGGTTGTTGAAAATTTTATAGTGTAATTAAGGTATGAAATTGGACAGGATGTTCATCCCAAATTCTGAACTTTTTGTCAGCATTGATGTTAATCTCCATGATGAAGATAAATTCTTAATTATCCTGGAGTGTAAAATTCAGTGTAATTTGTGTTAAATATACTCTACTGGATTCTAATTGATCTCTAAAAATGTTGATTTGTGTATTGTGTCGTAAGTTTTTTGATAGGAACTTATTATAACCTATTTTTATCATAAAGTAGGTTAAACCTCACAAAATAGACACATAATTTTTAAAAGTAAATTCTCCTAATTTTAAAAATACTTTTGAGCCTCAGCATCTTAGTAAGCCAGCATTGTCTATAATAGTGTGATTTCAAATAAATCATCAGAAGGTTAGATTATGTTTTTGTTAAGTTTTCCAGCCCAGCCTATTTTATTGAATACTTGACCACTTTCTCTCAGGTAAACTGGTAGAGGATTATTGAGAAAAGAAGGTGGGCACTAGTGTATGTAAATTAACAATGCTGATGGAGAGTAGCAGTAATCGCCACTAAAATTAACAGGATCTTCACATCAGTCACTTCTTTGTTTTAGAGATTTTTTATTTCTACCCGAATCAAATAAGTTTTTGGAGAAAATTTAGAATTGTGCAGGTTGAGAGAAGATGAAAGTCTTTTTCTAACATATCTACCAAACTATAGTTGTTTTATTGTATATAATTCAAAAATTCTTAAATGATATATGTATCAGCCAAAGTATGTTAAATCAGGCCTGACTGGAGGCAATTTTTATAAATACAGTTATGTCCTAAATATCACTTCAGATTCTTGACTTAGTCATTTAAACTATTTATCTTAACCTTACTGTTAAAATGCATTGTTTTTACCAGCTTTTCAAAACCTACTGGCCCACATCTTTTCCTCCCGGAGATATGTAATATTAAAGCAGATAAATGCTTAAGTACTCATTTTGGGTAGCTGGATAATTAGTAATTAATTAGCCAGGAAGTATGATCATGATCATATGACTATTTCCAAGTGAAGTTTAACTAGCTTAATGACAGTCTGCCTCTAAGAGAAATGTAGTATGAGCCACATGTATAATTTAAAATTTTCTAGTAGCCACATTAAAAACAGAAAAAGATGAGATTAATTTTAATAAAATCACTAACTTAATCTAACATGTGTCAAGTATTGCAGCATGTAAATATGCAATATTAAAATATAATCATACTTGACAAATTCTTTTTTTGATACTATGTCTTCAAAATCTGGTGTGTATTTTACATTTACTGCACACTCAGTGGGGATGCTAATGTTCATGGCACACTTGATCTGTTTTTAGGGTTCATACAGTTTACAGTTGAAAACCTAGGTTCACAAAAGAAGAAAAAGAAGAAAGAAGAAAGAAAAAAAAAAAGAAAACCTAGGTTCACATATCTAGGTTACAGATAGTTTTTTCCCCCAGTAACTGAAACAAGTGTGTTTAAAAATTTGTATTAGAATTAGTTAAAAATAAAACCTAGTTCCTCAGTCACACTAGCTGCACTGTGAGCGCTTGGGAGCCACACGTTAGCTAGTGGCTCCTGTAGCACATGTTACCCGTCTCTAGCATGAGAGCCAGTCTCAGCAATAAAAATCTCTTCTGGAAGATTCTGGGCTATTTGACCAGCTGTCAAAGGGAAGTGAGAAAAGGAAAGCTTTATAAATCAAGTTTCTCTTCTGTGTCCCAAATACACATTCTGTCCCTTTGAATGAAATCCTTAATTTTAAGGTTTCACTGGTTTTTGTTGTTGTTGTTGTTTTTTGGCCAGCCCAGGTGTGGGCACACAGAATCTTAGTTCCCCAATCAAGGATTGAACTCTTCCCCCCCTTGAAACTCTCATCCCTTGCAGTGGGAATATGGAGTCTAAGCCACTGGACCACCAGAAGAGTCCCTGAAATCCTAATTTTAAAGTTCAGTGACTGCAACCAAAGGAAATGACATGTACGGAAAAATGTTTCTATTGTCTTTGAGAAGTCGTTGGCTCATTGTTTCACAACTTATTTTGTATTAAGCTTGTGCAATTGAAATAATTTTTTTAACAACTACAGAAATACAAATTGCAGTTCTTCGGGACTAGTAGAGAAGTAGTTCTAGGAGAAGCCTAGTAAGTCTTCCTGGTGGCTCAGACAGTTAAGAATCTGCCTGCAATACAGAAGACCCGGGTTTGATCCCTGGGTCGGGAAGATCCCCTGGAGAAGGGCATGGCAGTCAACTACAGTATTCTTGCCTAGAGGATTCCACGGACAGAGGAGCCTGGTGGGCTAGTCGGTGGGGTCACAAAGAGTCGGACGTGACTGAGCGGCTAACACTGTAGAACTATAGCAGAGTATTGTGCTTCCAGGCTGCTGAAGCGACTTTATCACTTTTGAAGGTGAATCTTTGGTTTTCTCTCAGTAGAAGGCTAGCCTGGGGAAGACTTGAGCTCTTGCCATCAAAATGAGCTGCCTTTGAGCTTGCCCTGCGTGTTTCGTGAAACTCCTCTTTCTGTCTCTCTTTGGTGTATTTTTCTGCATCTGGTTCTTGTGCTGTGAATGTGAGCAACTGGTCCACATGATGCTGAGGGATATGAGAGTCTCATCATAGATGCTTACACCTAGGTTTTCATAAACTGGAGAAATAACAATAGCCACCATGTTGAATCTTTACTGTAGGCCTTGAGAAAAGCCAGGTGTTTCAAGTCTGTATTTTAGGGCCTCTGAGACCTTTTCTATATCAGAAGGTCTTATATGGTGCCCTTCAGTTATAGGACTCCAGGCATCTCTGGCCATGATTGGCATATTAGTTTGCTAGGCAGGGCTGCTATAACAAATACCACAAACTGAGTGGCCTAAATGATAAATTTATTTTTTCACAGTTCTGGAGGCTGAAAGTCTAGTATGAAGGTGTTGGTAGGACTGGTGTCTTCTGAGGCCTCCTTGCCATCTTCTCCTTGTGACTTCACATGCTCTTCCTCTCCGTGTTTTTATCCTAATCTCCTTGTAAGGGTCCTAATATTGGATTAGGGCTTACCCTGGTGACCACATTTTACCCTGGTTACCTCATTAAAGGCAGTATCTCCAAATAGTCACATTTTGATGTATGGGGTGTTAGTGACACCTGGCATCTGGAGTGAGAAGGGAAGTAGTGTCTGGGACACACCCATAACTCATTTGAAGCACAATCTTACTTAATTATCATGACGTTTCTATATCATTATGCCTATTTTACAGATGAGAACACTGAGGCACCAATGGATTACGCCCATTGCCCAAGGTCATACAGTAAGTGGCAGAACTGGAACTGGGGCACCGGGCTGGCTATTCCTACCAGATAGGCTTAATACCATCAGCCTTTTGAAACATTAAGCTGGGTTTCTCTTTACATATGATCTGCTTCATGTAGTAGAACCTTATTGACTAGAGGATCTGTTTATGAAATTTTAGCATACAATCATAAGCCTTTTACATAAAACAATAATAGTAAAAGTTAGTCTCTCTCCTACAGAAATGCAGTAACTAGCATATTAATAATACTCATGTTAATATTTTACTACTATTAAGCTTCAAAGCTTAATCGGCACAATTTGCCAATTGAGTAGAAGTTACTACTAAAGTGAAATAAGCATTAAGGTAAATGTTCATCCTTAGTTTCCAAACTAAAATAAGCTTAAGTTCTCAAGAATTTAAAGAAAATACTTTGTCCTGCTTTTGTAAAGAGTAGATATGGAGGAGTTGCTCTTCCCCCCACCCCCCCAACCAAAAAAATCCCCTTTGCCTTTTGTAAACAGCAGGTATAATGGAATGACCTCTAAAAGAAGCTAGAATGTCACTGCAATAGTTTATCTTGCTTTCAGATTGTTTACACATAGTTAAGCAACAAACACGAGTTGACTAGAATATATATACATATCGTTCTCACTGGAAACGTACCACACTAGGAGAGCTTTTGGGAGTCACTGGTGGCTCAGACAATAAAGAATCTGCCTGCAATGCAGGAGACCTGGGTTCAATCCCTGGGTGGGGAAGATCTCCTGGACAAGGGAATGGCTACCTACTCTAGTACTCTTGCCTGGAGAATTCCATGGACAGAGGAGCCTGGCAAGCTACAGTTCATGGGATCACAAAGAGTTGGACATGACTGAGTGACTAACTCTTTCACTACTTTCAGAAGAGCTTTTATACTGAAGCTCATTTGATCACTTTCTCAACATAAAGTGGAGGAACTTTAGATAACATTAGCAAGAGATCTTAGC